GCCTTTCACACCCTCCAAGGAGGCCTGGGCTGGCAGCTCCACCCTGCACTTGCCCAGGCCTGAAGGCCACGGCTGAGCTCTCCAAATCTTGCTCTCAGAGAAGTGAGGAGCCTGGTAGGGCACTTCCTCCTTGAAGCCCCCTCCCCAAGGCCTGCTTCCCAGACCTGGGGCTGGGGCAAGGCACCTGGGTTCTTCCCCAGGACAGATGATTCACCCCTTCTGAGGCCTTTTCACTTCTCCTTTGGGCCTAAAAATATGGTGACCCAGGCATCCAGCTGGGCCAGGGCTTCGCCACAGATTGCACAACGACCCCGGTTTAAATGATGCTGACGCAGGCCCCGGGTACGGGTGGAGGCCTGAGTTGCTCCCCAACCAGGCATGCTGAGGTCAGGGCTTGGACCCCATTACTTCCCCTTTCCTGGGCCAAGGATCCTGGGGGTTGGGCTGACATGGGAGGTGCCGGGGATCCCTGGGCCTAGCTCTTAGCTCCTGGAAAGGAAGCTCCTCCCCTTTGGTATCCCAGCGGTTCTGGCTCCCCGAATCTGGTCTCCTTCATAGACTCAGAGTTCCAGTGAGGAGTTGGGGGCAGAGGCCAGCAAAGGGGGACGAAGAGAGAGATGGTTAGAGATGGGAAGACACAGAACCACAGAGGCAGAGAGACAGACACATGGACAAAGAGGTTGAAGGAGAGAGACAGTAGATACATGCAGCAGAGACATATAAGGGAACAGCTAGAAAAAGGAGCACGGAGACCACACCCATACTGGGACGGAATCAAGTAAGGACAGAGGGACAGGGGCCCAGTTAGGATTTCACAAACAGGGCAGATAGTGGAAGCATCCCAGGAAGGGGTTTTCCACAGGCACAGTCCAAAGTCCACACTCCCTTGGGAGAGCAGGCCACCCACAGAGTGGCTCCCCACCCCCTCTTCCTCGTGCACTGCCTGCTGGCCTCTGCTGCCCCCTGCTGGCTGCCACCCAAGAGCTCAGGCGGGAAGAAAAGTCAGAGACAAAGCTGCTTTGAGGCCACTCTTCATTCCCTCCCTGTCCCTCTCCCCCACAACTTGCCCACTTCCAGCCCTGCCAGCTCACAAGGCACTCCCAGAGCCAGTAGGTGGTGCAGAAGTCTTCCCAGTAACCTTGTTGGCACAGTCCAGCAGAGCGGTGTGAATGTCCTTGGCACAGGCAATCTGGGCTTTGATCACTGCCAGGTACTGAGGATAGGGTAGGCTGTCAGGCTGTACTGCATCTGGCTTGGTTGCTGTGGGCACCAGCGTGGGAGAGTGCTTGGCACTGTCGCAACTCTGTGACAGGCACTCATGTGCCAAGCGCTGTGGACGGGCAGGTAAGGTGCAGCATCAGCCTCATTCTGGGTCCTCCCAACCCTGCCCAAGAACCAGCCTGGGAGCATGCAGGCTTCTCAACTCCTATGTACTTGCTCTACCCAAGCCTTAAATGCAGCACTTTGCATGGCCTGTCTCCTCCTCTCATTCTTATGCCTCCTGGGGCTCTTTCATCCCCACATTGCTCAGTGCCTACCTCTGCACTGATGATGTACATGTATGTCCCAGCCTCCAGAGCTCTGACGCTCTCTCCTCAACCCCAAACTGCTCCTCTTCTGGGTGCCTGTCTAAAAATGTCCCAACCACTCCAACCAGAGCCCTGGGCTGCATCCTGGAGGCTCCTCTCTCACACCCTTCAGTTCCATGGCTGTACACAAAACTGAGTCTCTCACTTGCCCTTTGCCAGAGCCTTTTCCATTAAATCCCGACATGGCTGTCTCCCTGAAACCCCAGCCTCCACCCTTTGCCTCTTTAATCCATCCCTCATTTGGAAGCCAGAGGAATATTCTTTAAAAAGCAATGGGTCATGTTCTAAGAGGCTGCGATTTGATTCCCAGTCGGGGCACATGCCCAGGTTGTGGGCTCGATCCCCAGGAAGGTGCATGCAGAAGGCAGCTGATCAGTGTTTTTCTCTCTCTCTCCCTTCCTCCTCCTCTAAAGAGAAATAAAAACAAAAATAAAATGCCCTAGCCAGTTTGGCTCAGTGGATAGAATGCCCGAGTTCGATTCCCGGTCAAGGGCAAGTGCCTCCGCTGCAGGCTCAACCCCTGGTCGGGTGTGTGCGGGAGGCAAACAATCGATGTGTCTCTCTCACCTCTCACATCAATTTCTCTCTCTCTCCCCCTCCCATGTACTCTCTCTCAAAATCAATGAAAAAAAAAAAAATCCTTGGATGAGGATTAAAAAAACAACAAAAAGCAATGGGTCCATGCTCTTCCATGCTTGAAACCCTGGATAGCTTCCCAGCACCTTTAGAGCTGTTTTTCAAAATTCACCAACCTCCCTTCCTTTCCATATAGCCTGAGGAAAGGACCTATGCAATATTTAAATGTGTGTGTATATATATATATATATATATATATATATATATATGTATGTGTATATATATATATATATATATATATATGTATATATATATATATATATATACACACACACACACACACATTTAAATATTGCATAGGTCCTCCTTTTCCCCCCTTAACCTCTTCCTACCGTCCCTGACTGCCCCCGCTGGGGCCATATTTTGCTTTCTTTTCTCTTAAACTCTAAGGGTCCCCATGAGCCTTGCCACTAGGGGTGCAGTGGGCTTTAAAGAGTCACCTCTTGCCTCTTAACTTTCCTTTCTGAGTCCAGGCATCCCAGTCTAGGTTTACTCCCATTGCTATGATCTTGCCTCTTTTATCCTAAGCCCTTCCTTTGTTTTCACTCAAATTAATCTTGCCACTAGCACTTAAAAAATTCAAACCCCAATGCTAAACACACCTCAGTCAGACTGTATTTCATGACATTCCTAAAGCAGAAACTGTTCCTTCTGGCTGGAATACCTTTCTACCACTATCAGTCTTCTCAAACTGACTTTAAAACCTAATTCAAAATAATGATTACGATGCTACTACAAAAACAAAGATGACAATACAATACTACAGGAAACACTTGCCATGTGCCTAGTATATGCATGAGCTTGCTGAGTTTCTCCTGAAAACCCATTTTCCTAGGGAGGAACCATGGCTCAGGAGTAGAGCTTGGAGGTCCTCTGATTTCAGATGCTGTGCTCTTTGCTACTTGACCTCTTCTCAATTCCTGCCCCTCTTCAATTTTTGTTACAGCCTCACCTCTGATGTGCTCTCTCCCAACAGCCTTCCCTGAGCCACTCCCTCCTGGAACCACCCCACGCAGGGTTACATGCCTTCTCTGAGCTCCCCTGATTTTAATTCTGACCTCCATGTCCCCACCCACATCTAAGCCCTGAACTCGGAAACCTAGGCTTCTCCCATCACAGCTCTTACTACTCTGAGCCCTCCTTATTTGGGGACGTGTGTCACCTCACTGAACTGGAAGTTCTGTGGGGGCTAAGATCAGAGCAACACCGGCGCCTAACATCAACTGAAGCACAGGTTTGGCACAAAGGAGGTGCTCCCTGTGTGCTGTGCTGACAGAATTCCTGAAGACCCAGGGATTGAGTTAGGGTTGTGGTCACCCCGTCTAGGAAGCCCCTTACCAGGCAGAGCTCCAGCTGGTCACAGAGGGCGTAGAACTCCTCCAGACACTTGTCAAAGCGCTGGATGGGTCCGTCACTGCTTTTTCTATAGCCGGGAAAGGAGGAGAAGGAGGAATGATTTTCAGTCTCTGGGACATCAGTGTCTACGCAAATATCCGTCAGGAAGTCAGGCAAAGGCAAGGTTCCCGGAGGCAGGCACTAAGGGATTGGCGGTAGTAGCAGAGGGAGAAAGAGCTAGGGAACTGGGCTTGAAAATAGGAGGAAAGAAGGGAGAGTGGGCGGGGCCTGGGGAATGAGTTTCTAAGAATGGGGTGGACATAGGTGTTGATCCTGGGAAACGGGAATACACTTACTGTCCATTGTCTATGTTAGTGTTCTGAATCAAGTTCTGGGCTGCAACTTTCATCAAAGTCTAGTTAAAAAAAAAAAAAAAGATGCGGGAGGTGGAGAAACAGAAGGGGACACTTTCTCAGATCCATCTCAGGCCTCCCCTCCACTTGCCACTTCTCCTCCTGTAATTCCAGAGTAACTCCTGTTTCCAGTTCAATAGAAATAAACACCTATATTTCCCCAGCGGCCTGCTCTCATCTGGGGTTCTCGTCAGTGGCCTCCCGACTTACTTTAGGGTCCTCCCTCTACCCACCAATCACAATCAGAATCTCTCTGTACAAGCTGTCATTTCCCCAGGCCTTAACGGCCAGAGCCCAGCTTCTCCTTTATACTCCCTCCCACTCGAGTTCTGGCCAGTCCCAGACTCAACACTCGCATTGCTCCCACGAAGACCAAGTCTCACTCCTTTTCCCTTGCCCAGCTCTCCTTCTGCTCGCTGCCTGCCTCAGCAGCACTGCCGTCTGCCCCTCTGCCAGAGAACCAGACCCCGCTAGAGTCCAGCTCTCTCGGCCGATCACCTGCAGACTCTCCTTCAGCTGTGGGATGAGCATCTTATACCGCTGCACAGGATCGAAGTCTTGCTGCTGTTGCTGCAAGAGCCCGCCCTGGGCAGACCCCACCAGCTGGGAAGGTGGTTGCGGTTGCTGCTGGGTACCCAGGCCACCAGCCGAACCTGGACCCGACACACCGGAGGCAGAAGCCGCTGGACCCTGCGGCTGAGACGCAGCCATCTTTCTCACTTAGCGCGCCGGAAGTGCGTGTTCAGCTCTGTTTAGCGTCTTCCGCTCCAGGCCCGGCCCGCTAGTTAGCGCCGCCCGGCCCGCTAGTTAGCGCCACTCTAACCATCCAGCCAATGGGAGGGGAGAAGGCGCCTCCAACACCTGGTTCTCAAATCCTTCGTCCCAGACTAGATACCCACTCACCAACCACAAAAGCCTCTTCTCTCGCTCCGCCCCCTCCCCAGCTGCTGGCCAATCCGGGCGTGGGGTCAACCCGGACTCTGTTTCCCAGAAGCCTTCGCGGCCTGAGGCGATTCGTCGGGGCGCTTCGCCTGGCGGCAGTTGGTGGATCCGCAGCTGATGGTCGGCGGCTGCGCGTTTCCGGAGCCCCGGCTGGAGCTCTCCTTAGCCTCCGTCCTCCCGACGCTCCCCTCCGGGCCCGGGGCGCCTACCCGAGCGCCGCCTCGGATCAGGTGTCCGTCGAAGGCGGCACGCCCCACCTTGTCTCCCCGCGGCTCGGCGAGGTCCGGACGGCTGCCGCCTCGTCGCCATGGCTCCCACCATCCAGACCCAGGCACAGCGGGAAGATGGCCACAGGTACACGCCTCACCTTGCAGCTTTATCGTCTGTCCATGTCTCGGCGGGGCGGGGGGTCGGGCTCAGGGTCTCCGTGTAACGTCGCCAGCCCCTCAGGTCCGTGACGTCACGGAGCACTCAGTAGAGCGGGGTTTCTTTAGGTTTGGGGTGTTATCCCTTCCCCCCGTGGAGTTGGAGAATTAATGGGTTGGAGAATTAATCTTGGGAGATTTTATTCAGAAGGGCAATCCTCTTTTAAAATCTTGGAGGTGCCCCCTTCACGCTGCTGTCAATCTCGTCTTCACCTTTCTACCAATGTCTCTCTCTTGCCCACCAGGCCCAATTCCCACCGGACTCTGCCTGAGAGGTGAGTCCCTTTCTGTTTTCCTAAGAGTGTGGGCCGGGGGTGGGAAACACAGGTGGGGCCAGTTTCCACACCCAGCGTATCAGCGGTTTTTATTTCTTTATCCTCCATCCTCCTCCTCTTTGGCAACTATTAGCTTGTTCTATCCGTGGGTCTGTTTGTATTTTGTTTCGTTTATTCATTTGTTTTGTGTGGGTTGTTTTTTTAGCGGAATCATGTGGTATTTGTTTCTCTATTTCATTTAGCTAAACACCGTCTGGGTACACTCCTGTTGTCGCAAATGGCAATTTTTTATTGTCTTATTGCTGAATAACAATATAATATATATATATATACACACACACACACACACACACACACACACACACATATATATATATATATAGAGAGAGAGAGAGAGAGAGAGAGAGAGAGAGTTCTTTATCCACTCAGTTATTGATGGACATCTAGGTTGCTTCTGTATCTTGGCTATTACTAATAATGCTGCAGTGAACATAGGGTTTAATTTTTTGAGGAATCTTTGTATTGTTTTCCATAGTGGCCTCACTAATTTACAATCCCACCAACAGTGTACGAGAGTCCCCTTTTCTCTATATCCTCACCAGCACTTACTTGTTCATTCTGACAGGTGGTGACAATCATAGTGGTTTTAATTTGCATTTCCCTGATGATATTGAGCATCTTTTCATATGTCTGTTGGCCATTTGTCCTCTTTGAAAAATGTCTATTCAGGTCCTCTCCCTATCTATAAATGGATTGTGTGTGTGTGTGTGTGTGTGTGTGTTTGATGTTAAGTTGTATGAGTTCCTGATATATTTTGGATATTAACCCATTATTGGATATGTCATTTGTGAATATCTTATCTCAGTAGGTTGCATTTTCATTTTGTAGATGGTTTCTTTTGTTGTACAAAATCTTTTTAGTTTGATATAGTCCCATTTGTTTATTTTAATTTGTTTTTAAAATTTATTATTATCTCTCAATATATTTTATTGATTTCAGAAAGGAAGGGAGAGGGGGAGAGAGATAGAAACATCAATGAGAGGGAATCATTGGTACACTTCCTACTGGGGATGGAGCCTGCAACCTGGGCATTTGCCCTTGATCAGAATTGAACCTGGAATTCTTCAGTGCGAAGGCTGATGCTTTATCCACTGAGCCAAACCGACTAGAGCACGTGTCAAACACAAGGCCCGCGGGCCAAATCCGTCCCGCCAGGCCTTGCAATGTGGCCCGCACCGCGCTGTCATCACCACTCCGCTGCGTTTCCATCACAATGACAGTTTATGACTGTTCAGTAAACCATTCGGCCCGCGATTTAGGCTGGATTTTAGATTTTGGCCCCTTCTCTGAGTTCGACACCCCTAGACTAGAGCTATGTTTTGGCTTTTTAAAATATATTTTTATTGATTTCAGAAAGGAAGGGAGAGGGGGTGGAGAGAGAAGAGAGAGAGAGAGAGAGAGAGAGAGAGAGAGAGAGAGAGAGAGAGAGAGAATGCCATCAGTGATGATGATCATTGTTCAGCAGATCCCTGCATGCCTCCCATAACTCAGGCATGTGCCCTGATGGGGAATAGAACCTCCACCTTCTGGTTCATAGGTTGACACCCAACCACTGAGCAACACTGCCTGGGGGATCTATATATGTTTTTATGCTAGTACCATACTGTTCTGATTATTGTAGCTTTCTATCATAGCTTATCAGGGAATATGGAACATCCTTCCACCTTGTTCTTTCTCAAAATTTCTTTTGCTCTTTGGATTTTTTTGTGGTTCCATAGAAATTTTAGGATTAATTGTAGTTCTGAGAGGAATGCCATTGGTGTGTGTGTTTTTTGTTTTTGTTTTTAAAAAAATATATTTTATTGAGTTTTTACAGAGAGGAAAGGAGAGGGAGAGAGAGTTAGAAACATCGATGAGAGAGAAACATCAATCAGCTGCCTCCTGCACACCCCCCCCCACCCCCCACTGGGGATGTGCCTGCAACCAATGTACGTGCCCTTGACTGAAATTGAACCTGGGACCCTCCAGTCTGCAGGCCAACACTTTATCCACTGAGCCAAACCGGTTTTGGCTGCCATTAGTGTTTTAATAAGGATAACATGGACTCTGAAATTTGCTTTAGGTAGTAAGGACATTTTAATAATATTAATCCTTCCAATTGATGAGCAAGGTATGTCTTCCATTTATTCACATTTTCAATTTATTTCTTCAATGTCTTACAGTTTTCTGAGTACAGGTCTTTTACGCCTTTGGTTAAATTTATTCCTAGGTGTTTTATGCTTTTTGATGCAATTATAAATGGGATTTTCTTCATTTCTCCTTATCATTTGTTGTTAGTATGTAGAAATGCAACAGATTTCTGTATATTGATTCTGTATCCTGCAACTTTACTGAATTCATTCTAATTTCTTTTTGCCGAGATTATTTAGGGTTTTTTTTTTACATATTGTAAGTTTTCTGCAAATAATAGTATTACTTCTTCCTTTCTAATTTGGATGCCTTTTTCTTTCTTTTTTTCTTGTCTGATTGCTGTGGCTAGGATTTCCAATACGTTGAATAGAAGTGGTGGCAATGAGTATCCTTGTCTTATTTCTGATCTTAGAGAAAAAGCTTTCAACTTTTAACCACTGAGTATATTAGGTGGGTTTGGCATATATAAGCCTTTATTATGTTATGTTCCTTCCATATGCACTTTGTTGAGAGTTTTTATAAAATGATGCTTTTTAAAAATTATGTGTTTATTGATTTTTAGAGAGAGAGGAAGGAAACATTAATGAGAGAGAAATATTTATTGGCTGCCTCCTGCACACCCCTATCTGATTGCTGTGGCTAGGATTTATTACATAGCTTTGTCTTCTTTAGTGTAGATTAGACCACAACCTGGCCTTCACTGGGAATTGAACTGGTGACCTTTTGATTGTTGGTTCGATGTTTGACCACTGATCCACCAAAATGATGCTTGCTTTTATCAAACGTTTTCTCTGAATCTATTGAGATGACCTATGGTTTTTATTCTTTTTAAATTTATTTTATTTTTTTATATTATTTTATTAGATTTTTAAAAATATATTTTATTGATTTTTTTACAGAGAGGAAGGGAGAGAGATAGCTAAAAAACGTCAATGAGAGAAAAACATCGACCAGCTGCTTCTTGCACACCTCCTTCCAGGGATGTGCCCGCAACCAAGGTACATGCCCCTGACGAATTGAACCCAGGACCTTTCAGTCCGCAGGCCGACGCTCCATCCACTGAGCCAAACCAGCTTTGGCTCTTTTTCTTTTTTTAACTTTTGTTGTTAATCCTCACCTGAGGATAGTTTTTCCATCCATTGATTTTTAGGGAAAGTAGAAGAGAGAGGGAAAGAGAGAGAGAAACATAGATGTGAGAGAAACACATCTATTGTCTCCTGCACGTACCCTGACCAGGGCTAGGGCTGAGGAGGAGCCTGCAACCATGTGTTCCTTTGACTGGAATTGAACCCAGGCCTCTTTGGTCCCCAGCCAGTGCTCTCTCCACTGAACCAACCTGGGTAGGGCTCTTTTTAAAAAAAATTTAAATTTAAATTTTTTAATTTTTTTAAATATAATATTTATTGTTCAGATTATTACAGGTAAACATCCCTCATAGCTCCCCTCCATCTGATTCCCCACCCCACCCCATGCCCTTACCCCCCGCCACTGTCTTCATCAATAGGTGTAAGATTTTTGTCCAATCTCTTCCTGCACCCCTCAGACCCTTTCCCACTGAAAATTGTCAGTCCACTCCCTTTCTATGTCCCTGATTCTATTATATTCACCAGTCCATTCTGTTCTTCAGATTTTTTATTCACTTGATTTTTAGATTCACTTGTTGGTAGGTATGTATTTAATGCCTTTTTGTTGTTCATAATTTTTACCTTTGCCTTTTTCTTCTTCCTCTTCTTAAAGAATACCCTTCAGCATTTCATGTAATCCTGGTTTGGTGGTGATGAACTCCTTTAACTTTTTCTTATCTGTGAAACTCTTTATCTGACCTTCAATTCTGAATGATAGCTTTGCTGGGTAGAGTAATCTTTTTTTTTTTTTTTTTAATACATTTTATTGATTTTTGTACAGAGAGGAAGGGAGAGAGATAGAGAGCTAGAAACATCGATGAGAGAGAGTCATTGATCAGCCGCCTCCTGCACACCCCCCACCGGGGATATGCCCGCAACCAAGGCACATGCCCTTGACGGGAATCGAACCCGGGACCCTTCAGTCCCCAAGCCGACGCTCTATCCATTGAGCCAAACCGATCTTGGCTGGGTAGAGTAATCTTAGTTGTAGGTTCTTGCTGTTCATCACTTTGAATATTTCTTGCCACTCCTTTATGGCCTTATAGTTTCTGTTGAGAAATCAGCTGACAGTCGTATGGGTACTCCCTTGTAGGTAACTAACAGTTTTGTGTGTGTTTTTTTTAATTTTAAATCTTTATTGTTCATATTATTACAAATGTTCCTCACTTTTTTTTCCTTCCATTGCTCCCCTCCACCAGGTTCCCACCTCACCCTCTGCCTTTCCCCCACCCCTCATTGTCTTTATCCATAGGTGCACAGTTTATGTTCAGTCTCTTCCCGCACCCCCCACTCCCCTTTTCCCTGAGAATTGTCAGTTTACTCCCCTTCCATCCCTCTGATTCTATTATATTCATATTGTTCATCAGATTTTTTAATTCCCTTGGTTTTTAGATTCACTTGATAGTCACGTATTTGTTGTTCATAGTTTTTATCTTTATTTTCTTCCTCTTCCTAAAGAACCCCCTTCAGCAATTCATATAATTCTGGTTTGGCGGTGATGAACTCCTTTAGCTTTTTTTTATTTGTGACGCTCTTTATCTGGCCTTTGATTCTGAGTGATAGCTTTGCTGGGTAAAGTATTTTTGGCTGTAGGTTCTTGCTATTCATCACCTTGAATATTTCTTGCCATTTCCTTCTGGCCTTCATGGTTTCTGTTGAGAAATCAGCTGACAGTTATATGGTTGC